TGGAGAAAGAACCTCACATGAAAAAGGAGAGTACGTTAGCAAGGGAATCTAAATTTACAATTTACAATAATAAATTAAACCCTTAAAATGTAAAGCAAGATGGAGAAAGAACCTCACACGAGGAAAGAGAGTACATTAGTAAGGGAATCCAAATATATATATATATATATATATATATATATATATATATATATATATATATATATATATATATATGGAGGCGAGTTCAGGTGCGGCAGTGTCTTACGGTGCGGCGATTTCTTACGGTGCGGCAACACCAATAGTTCAACAAATATGCACCATCAACATTAGGAAAATACACCACACAAAACAGAGTAAACAGAGCCCCGCATCACCAAACACACACCATTAGGTGTGAGTAAAAACACCATACACTGTTCGGAAATACACCATTGGGGGTGGTGAGTTATATGGTGTATTTTTTTGAGTCTGTTGTGTATTTTGTGATGTTTTATTGCATTTCATTGGGGTGTGTTTTTATTACACTGTTGGTGCATATTGTTAACTGATGCGTAGTATATTTGCAAACAAATAATTCTCGGAGTACGAGTTATCGATCCAAAGGGAAGTGGTTGTATCAAGCACTAGTTACTAACTTATTCATTAGAGCTAATCCTAACAATTACTTAGATGATTGATTGACATAAAATAAATAAAATAAAGCAGAGGTTCAGGATTTTGAAAACAATTAGAGAGAAGTTGAGATTCATGGGATTCAAGTATTTAATCACCTAGTGCCAATTATCGTTTGCAATATTTAGTTTGGAATTAAGATTTGTGTGGGAATGCAAAGTGGAATCGAATTACTCCCGTAATCTCTATTCCTAGTGAATTTCCACTCCCATGGCTTAAACACCCAATAAGATCAAAGATCAGCATTCAATTATTCCTAATTACTACCATCTCCCGATTGGCAACAATCTAGAATAAACTTCCCCTAATAAGTTCCCCTTTCCCAAGGACCAACCATTAGGTGCAATCGTGTGTGCCCTAATTTATGCCCCAACTCCCATTGGTGACACAAACATGGCTATGAAGCTAGTAACTATGGCCATTAATTACATGCATCAAACAATATTATCACGATTGCAACACAAGTATTAAACCCAAATAATAATATATTAAAGAAACTGAGAGCTCAGGCACATAGGTTCATAAACACTTTTACCCAAGAATCTCTAAAGAATTTAGCCAAGCATGACTAAATTATACATAGCAAATATAAATAAAGAATTACAAATCATCAAAAGAGTACAAGAATTAACCAGACGATTTTCCCAAATCTCCCTAGTCTTCTTCTTGCTTTCCAAGACAACTTGTGGCTCTTGATTTCTCTCCTTCTTGTCTCCAAGAATCTCTGAATTCTCCCGATCTCCGTCCTCCCATTAGGGTTGAGGAAGGAGGGATTTTATAGTGGGTACAAAGTTGAGATGAAATAGGAATCTTGTACCAAATTGGACTCAAATTCTAATTCCTATATTTAAATAAAGAAATTGTCGTCTTTAATGATATTTAGAATTTGGAAGATTCCTTGAATTGCTAACTTTTAATATGGAGATATGAGCCTTGAAATCCGCGCAATTGATATTAGGAAAAGAGATCTCGCGCTTGTATTGAATTTTGCCCAGCTGCGCCACTTTAAGCGTCTGTTTTTTTATCCGCGCCACTTTAGGCGTCTGTTTTTATCCCAGAAACAGACGCATATTCGATGCGTCGAGAATTTTCTCGACGCGTCGAGACTTCCTGTGCGCGAATTAATTAGCTACTGGAAAATTTCGACGTGTCGAGCCCTTGGCTCGACGCGTCGAGTCCACTGGGCCCCGAACTCATCCAAAATTGCTCCAAACTCATCCTTGAACTCCCCTTGGTCATATCTTTGACCTAAAATGGTTCAAAAACACTAACAAACACCGTAAAATATTCAAAACAAATGCGAACCATAATTAAATGATAATAGCAAGGAAAACATGTATTAAATAAGCAAAATTAAAGAGCTTAATTACTGTGATGATTCAAAATAACCATAAAAACAAGCACAGATGTGATAACATCATTAACACTGTTGGTGTATTCTGGAATTTCGCCGCACGGCCGCACGGGAAGACCCCGCTGCATTTGAACTTTATTATATATATATATATATATATATATATATATATATACATATATATATATATATATATATACATATATATATATATATATACATATATCTATATATATACATATATATATATATATACATATATATATATATATATGTATATATATATATATATATATATACTAGTCTTTTCTATGCGCGATGGGCAAAAATATATGCCCAATATTTATATTTTTTTAAAATAACTAACAAATTCATACTAATTAAAATTTATATAAAATCAAATTTATTTATTATAATAATCCAATATATCTTCTCTGAAAAAATAATTCAATATATAATGTCTACAAATATTATTATCATTAAAGAATATAAGAAAATATGTGGTGGATGAATGTGCACGGTAACAATAATGAAAAAGATAACAGAAGTTATAACGGTGGGGAAATTTTTGTCCAAAAAATTGTATATTATAACTTTAAAAGCACAATGTACAAAATGATTAGCATTAAAAACATGGACATAAATGAAGGATATAACTTTGATTGGGACTTATTATGTTTTTATTACATATATATATATATATATATATATATATATATATATATATATATATATATATATATATATATATATATGCACCATCAACGTTAGGAAAATACACCACACAAAACAGAGTAAACAGAGACCCGCATCACCAAACACACACCATTAGGTGTGAGTAAAAACACCATACACTGTTCGGAAATACACCATTGGGGGTGGTGAGTTATATAGTGTATTTTTTTGAGTCTGTTGTGTATTTTGTGATGTTTTATTGTATTTCATTGGGTTGTGTTTTTATTACACTGTTGGTGCATATTGTTAACACTGTTGTTGTATTCTGCAATTTCGCCGCACGGCCGCACGGGAAGACCCCGCTGCATTTGAACTTTATTCTATATATATATATATATATATATATATATATATATATATATATATATATATATATATATATATATATATATATATATATATATATACTAGTCTTTTCTATGCGCGATGGGCAAAAATATATGCCCAATATTTATATTTTTTTAAAATAACTAACAAATTCATACTAATTAAAATTTATATAAAATCAAATTTATTTATTATAATAATCCAATATATCTTCTCTGAAAAAATAATTCAATATATAATGTCTACAAATATTATTATCATTAAAGAATATAAGAAAATATGTGGTGGATGAATGTGCACGGTAACAATAATGAAAAAGATAACAGAAGTTATAACGGTGGGGAAATTTTTGTCCAAAAAATTGTATATTATAACTTTAAAAGCACAATGTATAAAATGATTAGCATTAAAAACATGGACATAAATGAAGGATATAACTTTGATTGGGACTTATTATGTTTTTATTACACACACACACACACACACACACACACACACACACACACACACACACACACACACACACACACACATATATATATATATATATATATATATATATATATATATATATATATATATATATATATATATATATATATATATAAGTAGAATCCTCCTAGCCAAGTTTTCCCTCCAAAATTTAGGGGCATTTCTGGAATATCATTCATTTAATAATAATAATAATAATAATAATAATAATAATAATAATAATAATAATAATAATAATAATAATAATAATGTTATTACCTTAATTACAAATTATTATAATTTCTTTTTGAATTAGTATTTTCCACTTATAAATACAAATTATACTTTCATTTGCACTCTATATTATTTTCCGGTTCATGATTTCATTTGATTTCATTCTAAGTTTTATATGGTTGTTTCTGAATTCAGCCTGCAAAGCTAGGGGCTCAGATCTCATAGTTCATTTCAAGGCCAGGTAATATTATGATTCTGATAGGTGTAAACTGTGTTCACGTTTTCATCTTTATTTCGATTTGTTAGGGATTTGTATATCAGGATATGTTGTTACAGTGTGTCCAAATGTATGTTTAGTTACTGGTGTAAATGTATGTATATTTGGGGTAGATGTTATTTGATTTTGACATTTTTTCTTTGAATACCCTGAGATCAAAGTGTTGCATTCTGGATGTTGGATTGGTTGTTTTCATCAATTTATTGTGATTTTTTGTGTGTGTGGTTACCTGATTAAAAAGCAGGACCTCTAGCCTACTGTGAATGGGTTTCAACAAAAAGAAATTGAGGAGAAGATGCTTGGTAACATAATCCTATGTTAGGAATAAATTATAATTAGATTTTGATGAGCCAAATTGTATCTTTAGGATAAAAGTTTTAGACCCCCATTTTTGTTTGAATTTTGTGTAATTTTATTTTGAGGAAGAACAAGAAATATTAAGTCCAGGAAATTCATGAAGAAGAAAATCAAGGAAGAAGAAGAAGAGCTATGGATGGATTATTATTTATCAGCCACAATTCAATTGGCCAGGCACATTACCTATTTTGAAAAAGAGGAGTTACGGTTGGAATTAATTCAAGGAAATCAGCCTTCACGGAAATCAGCCTCGGTGATTATTTAAGGAATCAGCTAAGAAAAGGTCTGGGAATGAATGGGGGCTTGGCATCAAAAGTTTTTGTCAAAAGCTGGTAAGGAAGTTATGCTTAAGAGCATTGCGCAGGCTCTCTGATATTTACAATGTCGGTTTTCTTATTGCCTTTGAGTGTGTGTGACGCTATAGAAAAGTTGTTTAACAGATATTGGTGGGGTGGAGGTAGCACGAACAGTAGGGGGATACATTGGCTAAGTTGGACCCGTTTGTGTGCTCCGAAAGTACGAGGCGGCTTTGGATTCAAAAAACTGCATGATTTTAACATTGCTCTGCTTGCCAAACAGGGCTGGCGGTTGATGGTGAAACCAGAATCGTTAGTTAGTAAGTTATTGAAAGCTAAATATTACCCTACTTGTGACTTTATTGACGCGAGTCTGGGTAGTAATCCAAGCTTCATTTGGCGCAGTATTCTAGCAGGACAACAAGTGCTTTGGCTTGGAGTAGCAAGACGGATAGGGAATGGTATGGAAACAAAAATTTGGAGCTGGCCGTGGTTGGCAAGTTCTGAAAAACCGAGTCTAGATACACCTTGTATGGCGGGGTATGAAGAAGCAACGGTGAGTAGATTGCTAACGGCACAGGGCGACTGGGATGTGGAGCTAATAAGAGACATTTTTTATGAAGGCGATGCTGTTAGGATTCTTGCGACGCCAGTTTGTGCACAACTTGGTGATACGTGGAGATGGCAAGGCGACCTTCGGGGGTTATACACAGTTAGACAAGGATATCGGCTGCTCACTGATACGACAGACAGTAACGATTGCGTGCCGGGCTTCTCGGCTTGGAAAATTCTGTGGCGCCTACCGGTTCCGCCCAAAGTCGGTAATTTATTGTGGAGGTGCGTGCGAGGGGTGTTGCCAGTGAAGGAGAATCTGAAGATGAAGCAGATTTGGATTGGCGGGGGATGTGCAATTTGCGAAGATTCCGCAGAAACAATTGAACATCTTATGTGCGAATGCAGGGTGGCAAGAAGGTTATGGGGTGCAGTAGATATTCTACAAGGCCAATCCATACCAGTTTTCATGCATAACATATTGGAATCCGGAAATACAGATCAGGCTATGCGGCTCGCTGCTATTTTCTGGGCGGTGTGGACTGCGTGTAATGATAAAGTTTGGCGTAATATGGCATGCAATATAGATGCGATGCAGATACAGGTAATGACCCTCCAACAGGTTTGGAAGAACGCTTTCATGAAATATAGACAGGGGGAATCGACAAGGATTCCAACAGTAAACTGGAATGCACCACCTGCTAATCACGTCAAGTGTAACGTGGACGCGGCAATTTTCATGGATGGAGTGGGTTACGGAGCAGTTCTTCGTGGCTGTGATGGACGTTTCGTGGCAGCTCGTGCCGGACGAATCGAATGTGATAAGGACCCGCTTATGGCTGAAGCTATCGCGGTCAAGGAGGCACTCACATGGTTAAAGGATTTAGGACAGAATAATTTAATCATTGAGTCAGATTGTTTAAATTTCTGTACTGCTTTCAATTCTCGTTTGGTAGATTTCTCTTATGTAGGCACGGTTGCTAAGCAGTGTCATTTGATTGCTAGGGATATTGGGAACGTATCAGTTCGCCATATCAAGAGATCAGCGAATCGAGTAGCCCACGTGTTAGCAAGGGCGACTGGTTCATCGGCTGTCTCAGGCTCGTGGTCGTTAACACCACCTGCTTGTATTTCCAACGTTTTAAACCAGGAATGAAGTTGTTTGTTTTGTTTCAAAAAAAAAAAAAAAAAAAAGGAATCAGCTAAGAAAATGGAATTCCTTAAATAATTAAATTGAGCTATGGTCTCAATTTAATTAAAGAAGAGTGGTCTTATTATGAGCTACGGTCCCAAATTAATTCATGGAGATGAGCTACGATGTTTATTTGTTAAAGAATGAGCCACACTCTAATTTATTAAATAAGACCCACGCTCGAAATTTAATAAAGGAATGAGCCACGCTCTAAATTTATTAAAAGGAAGGAGTCACGGTTGATAGTGAAGAAGAACCAGGGATCAAAACTCATCAGAGACATTTGAAGAAAGGAGCTACGCTCTCTATTTATCAATGAGATGAGCTACGGTCATATTCTAAGAAGAGCAAAAAAGATATTTAATCCAAGATGAGCCAAGGAATTAATTCATGAGCTAAGGATTATTGAGACAAGCCAAGGTCTTCAGCCAAGGAAGATCAAGAAAAATCTCTGACAAGTTTTAATTACAAAGTATGGAGACCCATTACAAAGTCTGGGGATTACTTGCAAAGATCAGAGAAATCTCACAAAGTCAAAAATCATCCTGACATCTGATGAAAGTTGAAATTATTTTTTCAACATTTCTAAGCGGCAAAATCCTAGTACAAGATTTCAAAATTTGAATTTGCATATCTACAACTGGAAACATCAAAATCTCTCAACTATAAATATTGGCATTCTTGAAGACTTGAGGACACACAGAATACACAACAAGAAGAGAGCATTTTATAAGCAGATAGCTTCATTCCATATATTCATATTTGAGCTACTCACATAGAACTCTTCAAGTCCAGAAGAGAAAATTTGTGTTCTTTGTACAACACTACTCTACTGTGTGTAGAAAGAGGGAGAGTAGCAAGGAGTGTTAAAACCCTGTTGAGTGTAGCTTTGTACGAGACACTCGTGGTTGCTAAGTGTAGCTTTGTGCAAGACATTTAGTTGGTGTAGGAGTATAGCTTTGTGCAATATACTCGGGTTTGACTGTAGTTGTGTGCAAGACACTCGGGGAAGTGCTTGGGTAGCATTTGATTCACTATTTGTATCTGGGTGAACGAGATAGTGAATTTCCTCCTTGGAGTGAAAGGAGAAGAGTGGACTAGGAGGATTACATCACCTCCGAACCACTATAAATTCCCTCGTGCATTTTACTTACTGCTCTCATTTATTTACTGTGCTTATTTATTATCCCTTTTATTATTGTTGAACTAACCCTTTTTAATTGTTACTATATTTTCACAATCTACATTTGGTGTATTACACGTACATGTGCAGCCATTTCAAGCATATCCATCGTATTGCATGTGATATATCTCTCTGTTTTACGGAACACTTTATTGCTAAATTATTCCGCTGTGCATCCAAGTTAAATATCTTGTTATTTACTTGTTACTTGGAGTTGAAATTATCAAAGTGTTATTTATTGTAAAAAGTTTAAAAAGTCTATTCACCCCCCTCTAGAATTTTTACCACCCTATCGGGACCAATAATTGGTATCAGAACAGTTGTCTATTTGAGTCAATCTTGACTGCTAGACAGATCTCAAAAATCAAAATGATAAAGAGAGATATGGCTCTTGCCCAAAATTTATTATTTTCTCTAGAAAAATTTGATGATTGGAAAATTCGCATGCAGGTACATTTATCCGCACTACACGATGAGATGTGAGAAGTAATCACTAATGGTCCTATTGAAATCTTGCAAGTGAACACTACTTCCCGTACAAACTAGTGGTACTGCACAGTACGTTCCAAAGCCTAAGGTGGAATGGACTCGGGAAGATAGAACACGAAATAACTTGGATAATATTGCCAAGGATATTTTGTTCAAAGCTATCGATGATACGATATTCCCAAAAGTCCGAAAATGCCAATTAGCAAAAGAGTTTTGGGAAACACTTATTCAGATCGGTGAAGGAGATGAATAGGAAAAGGTTAATAAACTCACCATACCATTGAAGAAATTTGAGGATTTCAAAATGCTAAGTGGAGAAAATATCACCGACATGGAAACAAGATTTGCTAAAATCTTGGGAGAGATTAATGATCTTGGAAAAGACATTAATCAAAAAGAAATTTCGCTCAAAATCCTACGTGGTGTACCGTCTAGTTGGGACATGAAAGTTACGGCCATGCGTGATCATAGAGATCTAAAGACTTTATCAACTGATAAGCTTTTTAGTGATCTAAAGGCTTATGAGTTTGAGATGAGGTCGAGGATGGAGGAAGATCGTGAATAAAAGAACAATGCACTCATAGTTGAGCAACCGTCTTCCTCAAGATCCGTAGAAAATAGTGATTTATTTTCTGACGAAAACTTTGCCTTGTTTGTTAGGAAATTTAAGAAATTTATGAGGAAAAATAATCACAAGAATTTTCCTAAGGCAAGCACATCTTGAAGGCATATAAGGGATTCCACGGAGGGCAATTCAAATTTGTGCTACAACTGCATAAAGCCTGGACATTTTATGGTTGAATGTCCATACCCCAAGGTAAGCAAAAATCAAACTGACACTTTGCAGGAAGAAACCAAAGTCAAAGAAAGAAAATTCAGAAACGACAAAAGGAAAGCTCTAATCAGTGATCCTCTGGAGACAAGCGAGACTGAAGAATCTTCTAGTGATGAAAGTGACACCTCGAAGGATAATAATGCATTATTTTGCATAAGTGTTTCAAGTGAATCATCCCACCAAGACATGTGTCTTATGCCGTATGAAACAGACGATGATGAGGTAACTTCAAAATCCTTTGACTCTGTAAATTCATCATTTTCTAAAGAGTCTATCTTTCATTTAATGAAAGACTGTCAAACCATGATGAATGCTCACTTTCAACTCAAAGAGCGCAATAATCTCTTAATTTTCGAAAAAGATGAAATGAATGAAAAATTACAAAATGCTCTATGTGAAGTGAAAGATGTGAAGGCTGAAATTATTCGTCTTCAAGAAGAGATTAAATCAAGGGAAGTTTGTGAACACAATCTAAGAGAGGTTATAGCAACATTTACTCATTCATCCAAAATAATGGATAAAATGGTAAATATGCAAAAAACCCCAAGAGACAAAGCCGGACTTGGCTACGATTCGTCGTGTTCGCAAACCTCCGAGAAATTGACCAATTCTACTACTGCTTTAACAAATAAAGTCCATGTAGTAAAATTTGTAGAAGGTCAAGATAACACAATAAAACAAGGAATCGGTTATCAAACTAATGCCAAAAATAGTACTGCAAGGCCGAAGCCTCATAACCGAAATATTTCACCAAAGCAGTTATATAATAGGCAAAAGTTTGTTTCTCACAGGAGATATACCAATGAGTTAAGTGCACAAAGTCCTCATAGGAAAATGGAAAGATTTCCAAGGATTGGGGTGGGGAGACTTTATCCCTCTGAGCAAGATTGGTTTGATGAAATTAAACCATGGACCAAGTCTAGGTTCAATGCCTTTCGTAAGCTCAAACGATCTTCTTCCCAAGTGCCAAAAAATAGAGTCAATTTTCAAAACCCGGCACCAAAAATGTTTTAAAAAATTAGCTATTATTATAAAGTGTTTAATGGTTACAAATCACCTAACCTTGGATCAGTGAGCAGTAGGTGGATTTGGGTACCAAAAATGACTAACAACCAAGGACCCAAATCATGTTGGGTACCTAAAAATGAGTAATATATTTACAGGAAATTTGGCACTTCGACAGTGGATGCTCTCGTTATATGATTGGAAATAAATCTAGTCTTTGAATTTTAAAAATATCGAAGGACCAAAAGTTATATTTGGTGGAAATGATCGATATGGCACAACCAAAGGTGTTGGTAAGGTATCTCGCAACGGTCTAAAAATAGATGATGTATCCTTTGTTGAAGGTTTAAAATTTAATTTGCTAAGTACTAATCAGTTTTGCGACAAAGGTTATCTTGTAGAATTTTTCAAGAACAGATGTCAAGTAAAAAATGAATCCACTGGAGAGATTGTGCTCAAAGGAATCAGAAAAAAAAAAACATGTACATTGTAAACTGGAACTCAACCAAAGACTCGGTGTGTCTTGTAGCAAACAACTCAAGCAATGTAAGTTGGGAATGGCACAAGAAGCTGAGTCACCTCAACTTCAAAACCATTAACAAACTTGTGATGAAAGATCTAGTCAGAGGACTATCCAACATCACCTACAAAAAGGATCAAATTTGTGATGCATGTCAAAAGGGGAAGCAAATCAAATCATCCTTCAAGGCAAAAACACACGAGTCAAGTCAAAGACCTCTCAGTCTACTACATATGGATCTTTTTTGTCCTGTAGATCCAGTAAGTATGAGTGGTAAGAAATATACTCTTGTTATTGTTGATGACTTTTCCAGGTACGCTTAGACACTATTTCTCAACAAAAAGAATGAAGTTGAGAAGAAACTACCAGAACTACTCAAACAACTCAAAAAAGAAAAGGAAGTCAACATTGTCAAAATTCGTACTGATAGAGGTACTGAGTTCGTGAACATCATGATTCAAAATTTTGCAATGCTCAAGGAATTTTGCATCAACTATCGGCTGCAAGAACTCCACAACAAAATGGAGTTGCAGAAAGGAGGAATCGTACGCTTGAAGAGGCCGCACGCGTAATGATAGCCGCGGCTGAGTTACCTAAACGTTTTTGGGCCGAAGCAATCAATACTGCTTGCTGCACCCAAAATAGAAGTTTGATTCACCAACTGCACGACAAGACACCTTATGAATTGTGGAAAGGGAGAAAACCCAACCTTAGTTATTTTCATTCATTTGGTTGCAAATGTTTTGTTCTTAATAATGGCAAAAGCTATCTAAAAACATTTGATGAATGTGCAGATGAAGCAATATTCTTAGGATACTCTTCCACTAGTAAAGCATTTAGAATATTGAACAAATCAACAATGGTGGTTAAAGAATCCATTCATGTCGTATTTGATGAATCTTCAAAAAGAAATGATGCTGAAAGTTCAAAAA